AGAGAGAGAGAGAGAGAGAGAGAGAGAGAGAGAGAGAGAGAGAGAGAGAGAGAGAGAGAGAGAAAGAGAAAGAGAGACACACACGCACACACACATTCTGCTTCCCAATCCCGATCCGCTTCCCCATCCAGATCCGCTTCCCCTTCCCAACCCGCTTCCCAATCCCGTCTCCGCCTACCTCCGTCCGTCTTCGCCTACCTCCGCCGACCTCCGCCCCCCCCCCGCTTCCACATCCCAATCCGCTTGCGCTTGCGCCCCCATCAAGGCCTGCCATTTGGCAGCGCCGCTTCTCCCTGGTTCTCCACGCTTCTCCCCACTTCTCCCCGGCAGCGTCTTCGTTGCTTCTCCCCGCTTCTCCCTACTTCTCCCCGCTTCTCCCTACTTCTCCGCCGACCTTCGCTCGACTCCGCTTCCGCTTCCCAATCCCGATCCGGATCCGGATCCCGATCCTCTCCCCCCACCTTCGCCCAGCTCCGCCCACCTCCGGCCGCGTTCGCCTACCTCCGCCCGTCTCCGCCGACCTCTGCCTGCGTCCGCTTCGGCTTCCCAATCCCGATCCGGCTTCCCAATCCGCTTCCCAATCCCGATGCGGCTTCCCAATCCCGATCCGCTTCCCAATCCAGATCCGCTTCCCAATCCCAATCCGCTTTCCAATCCCGTCTCCGCCTACCTCCGCCCGTCTTCGCCTACCTCCGCCGACCTCCGGCCCCCCCCGCTTCCGCTTCCCAATCCGCTTCCGCTTCCGCTTGCGCCCCCATCAAGGCCCTCCCACGTGGCAGCGCCGCCGTGCCGCTTCCCAATCCTGATCCGGATCCCGATCGCCGCTTCGCCCGCCTCCGCGTCAGCTTCCCAATCCCGATCCGAATCCCGATCCCCACGTGGGCCTCTACCCACTTTTGCGCATCTCCGCGGACCTGGGTCCGTTTTTTTTTTTCCTTCTTTTACTTTTTTTATTTTTTCAATCAATCAATCAAGCAATCAATGAATCGAAATTGATTGATTGCTTGCTTGATTGATTGATTGCTTCGTTTTTTTCACTTTTTTTTCCATTGATTGAATAATTGATTGATTGATTGATTGATTTGTAGAGAGACAGAGAGAGAGAGAGAGAGAGAGAGAGAGAGAGAGGGAGAGAGAGAGAAAGAGAGAGAGAGAGAGAGAGAGAGAGAGAGAGAGAGAGAGAGAGAGAGAGAGAGAGA